GGGGTTTTTTCCCCAATTTTTGGGGTTTTTTTCCCATTTTTGTTCCGTTTTTTCCCGAAATCCCCGTTTTTCACCCCAAATTTTCACACGAAGGTGATGTAATTCTGCCCGGGGTTCACCTGCAGCACGTCCAGGGCCTCGTACTCGGCCAGAGCCGCCCTCACCTGGCCGGGGGTGAAGCCGCGAGCCCCCAACACCTGCAGGGCGTGGGGGAGGGGCAGCTGCCGGCCCCTCCCCCCCAGCTCCCGCAGCATCCCGAAAATCGCCTCCGAGGGGCGGGGACACCTGGGGGGAGGGAACAGCTGGAAATACAGCCGGAATACAGCCGGAATACAGCCCAAAATACAGCCGGAATACACCCGGAATACACCCCAAAATACACCTGAAAATGGTTCAAAATACACCCAAAATACACCCAAAAACAGCACAAAATACACCCAAAATACACCTGAAATACACCCGGAATACACCCAAAATACACCTGAAAATGGTTCAAAATACACCCAAAATACACCCAAAAACAGCACAAAAGCAGCCCAAAACCAACCCAAAATACACCCGAAAAACAACCCAAAATTCACCCAAATCCACCTGAAAATGGCTCAAAATACACCCAGAATACACCCCAAAAACAGCCCAAAAACCACCTGAAATATCCCCAAAAATCCAGCCCAAACTGGCCCAAAATACACCCAGAATACACCTGAAATACACCCGAAAACAGCCCAAAATACACCCCAGATACAACCCAAAATACACCCAAATACAGCCCAAAATACACCCGAAAACAGCCCAAAATACACCCGAAAACAGCACAAAAACAGCCCAAAACCAGCCCAGAATACACCTCAAAAACAGCCCAAAATACACCCAAATACAGCCCAAAATACACCTGAAAACAGCCCAAAATACACCCGAAAACAGCCCAAAATACACCCAAAATACACCCGAAATACACCCAGAATACACCTGAAAATGGCCCCAAAATACACCCAGAATACACCCCAAAACCAGCCCAGAATACACCTGAAATACACCTGAACTACACCTGAACTACACCCAGAATCTGCCTGAAAATGGCCCCAAAATCCCCCAAAAACCCCAAAAATCCCCCAAA